AATTTGCACACTTTACTTTACTTTACTTTACTTTTTTTTTATTCTTCCTCCCCCCCCCCCCCTCTCTCTCTCTCTCTCTCTCGCGTGGCATAGTCTGTTGCTTGCGATATTTTGTATTGCAGAAAGTAAAGGAATTTTAATATCTACAAATTAATATAAATTAAACCTGAAAAGTGAATTTTCCCCGCGGAAACTACGAGGACAGGTGTTCCTCGTAGGATTGTCCCCAGGGTAATATTTGCATTATCCCGAGAGCCCTATCCAACGAAGAAATGTTGAGATAACGCGTGAGGATGTCAGGTACCAGCGTTTGATTCGCGCCGAAAACGAGCGACGAACGAAAACGCGTTTGTACAACACGTTAAACTTGCTAATTGCGAAAATCGCCGGCGGCGTCGCGCCATTTTCTGCCTCACTTGGCCTAGAAAAGACCAAAGCCGCTTTGCAGGAGAGATCCCATATATTTGGAAGTTATTTCTATTCTCGGAAGAAAAGGAAACTCTTTTTATACTTTAAGTTACTGTACGATTTGAGAGATATGTTTCATTGCATCTCAGCGTCAAGTGGAAATATCGTAGCCATTATCGAATTGGGGCATATTGTGTACCCTCCGAACGAAGAACCATGCGAAAATGACAAGCTTTATAAAGCGTTGATAACTGTTAAATGAAGGTTTTTTAAAAGTTCATACGCTTTCAAACTTTATGAGAATGCTTACACAACGCCGTTGTGTTTTAAACGCTTTCAGAACGCTTATAAAATACTGTGTATAACGTTTCATAAAAGTTCTACAACGCTAAGTTTAAAAATGCTATATACAAACGTCTTCTAAACGCCGCAGCGTTGCAATTTCCGCTCTACAAATTCTCTATCGACTGTTTCTAAACTCTCAACGAACTCCTGCAAACGGTATATACAAACACTTATGAAACGTTTTATTTTCGCCAGGGCACTGTCTCAGGATTTTCAGGCGTGGCATCGAAACTCGAGTGACTACCGCATAGACAATCCGCACTACAATACCAACGCCGAATGCGGTGTTACCGGTTACTACAACGATAGAACAAATAGACTGATCCCCGATGGTGACACTTTATTACCAGGCCAGTGGCCGTGGGTGGTTGCAGTCTACCTTAATACCAAAGAAGGGTTTCTGAGAACATACAAGTTTCAATGCAGTGGTTCTCTTTTGTCAAACAGACATGTATTAACAGGTATGTTAATCGAGAAAAGTCAGTATTTCCATAGTCCATATATTGAACTAACTGTATGTGAGTTACTTTCCAGTTCTACATATATTTTCTGGAATGTTTATAGTAAAATTGTAATTTTTACCATTAATATTAAGAAGTAGCGAGCGTAGCACAAAAAAATATGCGCCGCTTAGCAAACAAATAAACGAAAAGATCCGAGTTCAAATGCAGCCGCGGAAACCACTGGTTTTTTTTATGCCACCTCATGGAGAGGAGTAAAATCTTTAACGGCTCGTTATTATTATTTCAAACCTATTTCTATTATTTGAATTTACACATAACGAGCAACTAATTTCTGTTCTAAGCATAATATTGTATTTCCTCGAGAGTATTTTCAGTACATTAAGGACTTCTTATAATATTTATAAAAAGTATGATTTAGGTGCTGTATAAATATACATATTTATTGTAAATGTTTTTATGCACACCTAGTTACTTTTTGTTATACTAGAACAACACAAGCGCGCGCTTCGCGCGCGCCATTGTTCTTCCACATTATATATTACATAAACTATCAAAATAACCCTCTTAAATACAAACTGTCGAAACCGCAAGTCGAAGTGAACGACTCGCAACGAGATCGAAACATAAACTGTCAAAATAACCCTCTTAAATACAAACTGTCAAAACCGCGAGTCGAAGAGAACGACTCGCAACAAGATCGAAACTCGATCGAGTTTCGAGAGAGCCAATCGGCATCGCGGAAAAGCGACAACAATGAACTCGCAATGCCTTTTTTAGATAGGGACTAAATTAAGCTATTTCATTTAATTCCAGAGTATCACATTTGAAGTATGTAATACGGCTAGGGCGTATAGGATGCCTCCGGATTGAAAGTTTGGATCGTTACAAAATATAGTTTATACGAATATCTTTCTTACAGCGGGGTACTGTATGAAATTAAACGTGCTGTTCGCTAACGAAACAGTACCTGTTGACATATTGAAAGTGGTTCCGGGGCGATTTAACTTGGACCCATTGCGCGGAGTCGATCAGCCAATCGGAAAGTCGCGATTCGTGATTCACCCGAATTATGTGCACTATCTCAAAGCTACTTCCGATCTCGCGATTTTGACCCTCCAGAACGTCGTCGAGTTCAATCCTTTCATCAGGCCTATTTGTCTATGGTCCGGCTCAACCAACCTTGAAGACGTCATTAGTAGGACAGGATATGCCGTAGGATGGGATGGAGACAAGCTTAATCGTCGTGACGTTGACGATCAACGGATGGTGAGGGCGACGATAATGAGTCAAGTAAGGAGTTAATTGCTATTATAAAATTACTATTCATTACGTATATCTGTGACAAATAAATTCGTCAAAAGATTACAATCCTCGCGTTGACGTTTGTTCCACAAATTGCAAGAGACCTGTCTCTGGACGAATGCTAGATACATTAGTGCAATCTCGCATGACACCTTTTGCGCTGGTTCGCAAGAAGGACTAGGTCCTTGTAAAGATGACGGTGGGAACGGGTTGATACTTCTAAACAGTACCGGCGTTAGGGTGGGGCGCGGTTGGGCGATCGCCCAGGGCGTCAAATCTGTAAGGGCGCCGATGCCTGGTTTCACCTAGTTTGAGAGAGATTCCCTAAAATAAAAAACACAATGGAGTTGATCGTTCGACATTATCACCTTGTCTTTTCTTTCTCAAGAATTTCGAGCCCTTGAATTTGAATGGGCGCCACGATGATCTTGCTCAGGGCGCCAATGTTGCTAAAACCGACACTGCTTCTAAACAATAGTACGAACAGTTATGAGTTGCGTGGCATTGTTTCGCGATCTTTAATCATTGGAAGTGGGTTCTACGATGTACATAAGTACATCGTTTATGTTGATGTGGCAAAATACATACCCTGGCTTCAACAACAGATGTCGATGTAACGTTCGTCTTGCGTTGCAAAATGCCATACAGGTTAATCGATAAGTTTCCTCGTGTAAAAGTTATTCGAAGACGCAGTACTTATGTACAGTTACGCGTGAGGATTGTACCAGATATGAATTCTGTTTTTGGTTATTGATGCCTCTTGTAATGTGTCTCCAATCTGGATGCGAAACAGAAAGAATAAGCTGCTACACATATAAATATCTGTCATATTAGACTTCTTAATAATGAAGAATATTAATTATAACACACGTTACAATATGTTAATCGATACACACATTCAATACTTTTTAAAAATCGAGAAAATATTTTAATTTACGCGTATTAATAAATTGTATTCTTTTTTTAGACATCTGAATCCTTACTTTCTTAAGTTTAGTTGTTCGTACACTAGGCATCATTCCTGTCTTCCCATATTTTAGGCACATAAAACATACGTACATTTCAAGCAGATTTACTTGTGTTTTTCTGATTACATCAACTAGAATTACATTAAGTAAAAACATATAATGTTTTTTGTGGTGTTTTGAGGAATTGTTCAAATGGTGGAACAAAACACTTCAACCGAGAATAAGATGAATGGAACAAAAAAAGTATATTTAATAATAATTGCATTAGATTTGACGAGTTAGAAAATGTTTAGTGATTACGCATATTATCGAAAAAATACATGAATACATTTTTGGTTTTTTGAGTAATCGTTGCCATGTTGGAGAGCTGGGTTATTTATTTGAACGTCTGAGGCTTTTCCCATTTTTTCCTGCAAATCATCAAAAAGGAAAAAAAGGAAAAGGAGTTTCAGGTTTCTTTCCTATCGTTCATTGCATACGTATATAATGATATATAATTTGTGTGCTGCCTTATATGAACTAAATGACGTGGATTGACTCATCATTACCTAACTCTTGGTACCCCACTACCGCATCAAACGTGACTACAACAGGAAAACTATAAACATGTTTCGAAGCGTTCCGAGCATGGTGGAAGGGATAACATGGTGTGCTCAGTTCGGCTAAACCACGCCTACTTTTGCTTTGCGACGGCTATAGATTCCCAGGGCTATCAACCGTGAAAAGTAAAAAACATTTAGCGTTAGCAAGTTGGGTATGCTGCATCTATTGTCCTTGTTTCACGCATTTCTTCGAGTGTCTCAGTTTCTCTTTCTATCTTTGTACACGCGATGGAAAAAGGGAAAAAGTACCGGACCGGTGAAATATCTCGACAAATATGGGAGATACGGAAAAGTCTTTCAGACAAAAGTTATACGGTTTTAAAAGGGCTACATAATGGTAAAATAAATTTTCAAAAAAAATTAATTTTTTATGATTATATAGAGGTCGCCGTCATTTTTTTTAATGGAAATCTCTATTGTTTATTATACTATCTTATTCTACTAATTAATATGAACAACTATTGTCCGAAAATTTTTTCAATTGCCTAATACTTTTTGAGATTCTCAAGAGAAAATTTATAACTGTTGGGCGTATTGTAATAAACAGAGTTGCGATTGAACAGGTATGTTTAATATGAGATCAAATACATATCGTCAGCAGTACCGAATAAAAAGATAGAACGGAAATAATACTTATATGAACGGAAAGAATATGCAATGCGACTTAGCGCGTCGTGATCGCGTGACGACATTCGGCTCGTGGAGACTACGACGGACTGCGCGTAGTAATACATTGGTACAGTGCTACAAAACCGCGAGGAGGCGCTTAAATCAGATATGCTCAACACTCCCTCTCGCCTAATCACGGGTTTATACTAAGAAAACACATTTCTTTCTTTAATAGTTAAGCCCAATGGCTTTCGACATTTCTTTAAACTGAATTTGCGGTAGTGGCTTC